CAATTAACATGTCATCCACATATAACAACAAAATAAATAAAATTGTTGTCAAAAATCTTTTGAAGTATACACATGGATCAGAATAGGTCTTTGTGTACGTTTGACTTTTCATGAAAGAGTCAAACATTTTGTACCATTGCCTTGGGGCCTGTTTCAACCCATAAAGACTCTTATTCAATTTTCACACCATGTGTTTCTTTCCAGATACTTCAAATCCCTCTGGTTGCTCCATATAAATCTCTTCTTCCAAATCTCCGTGAAGAAATGCAGTTTTCACGTCCAATTGCTCCAGTTCAAGATCTAGGCTAGCTGCTATGCTCAAAATAGTTCGAATAGAAGTCATTTTGACAACAGGTGAAAAAATTTCATCAAAATCAATACCTTTCTTTTGTTCGAAGCCTTTTACAACCAATCCAGCTTTGTACCTCACCAACTTGCCATTTCCATCTTTCTTGAGTTTAAAGATCCACTTGCACTTAAGTGGTCTTTTTCCTTTTGGAAGTTCAACTAGCTGGTATGTGCCATTTTTCTGTAGAGATCCCATCTCTTCGTGCATGGCTTTCATCCATTGGCTCTTTTCTAGATGAGACAACACCTTCTTAAGACTTTCTGGCTCACCTTCATCACTGATAAGGACATACTCTGAGGAAGGGTATTTGGTTGATTCTACCCGTTGTCTTTATGATCTCCTCAGAGGTTGAGATTTTTCTTCTTCTGGGTACTCTATTTGCTCGGTATTATCACCAAGTTGCTCCCCCTGCTCATCAATCTCATCAGGTTGCTCTTCATGCTCAGAAACTTCATCAATCGTACTTTCTGCACTTATGGGATGGTATAAAGAAGAAGGAACGGTAACAAGATTAGGGACTATACCATTCTTTTTCTTGGCCTTCTCGGATAGATCATCAGCATTTCTAACTTCACTTTCTCGAAAGATTACATCTCTACTTCTTATGACCTTCTTCTTTACAAGATCCCATAGTCAGTACCCGAGTTCTTCATCTCCATATCTGATGAATATGCAAGGAACTGATTTATCATATAGCTTAGTTCTTTGCTCCTTCGGTACATTTGCAAAAACTTTGCAACCGGGCACCTTTAAGTGCGAGTAAGACATCTCTTTGTTGGTCCAGACTCTCTCCAAAATGTCAAACTCCAACGGAACTGATGGACTATGATTGATAAGATAACACGCTGTCCGAACTGCTTCACCCCAGAATGTCTTGGGTAATTTAGCCATTCTGAGCATGCTTCTCACCTTCTCAACAATGGTGCGATTCATTCTCTCAGCTACACCATTGTGTTGTGGGGTTCCAGGAACTGTCTTTTCATGTCTGATTCCATGGTTTGAACATTACTCTTCAAATTCTCTTGAAGTTTACTCACCTCCATTGTCGGTTTGGAGACATTTTAGCCTTCGACCTGTCTCTCTTTCTATCAGATCATGAAACTTTTGAAATACTTGAAACACCTGATCTTTGGTTCTCAAGATATACACTCACAATTTTTGAGAAGCGCCATCAATAAAGTTAACAAAGTATTTATTACCTCTTATCGATTCTATCTCCATTGGACCACAAACATCAGAATATACCAAATCAAGTATATTCGATTTTCTTTCAGATGATGTCTTAAATGAGACTCTATGTTGTTTACCAAATAAGTAGTAGTTACACGATTTTATCGTTGTACCTTTGGAAAAAGAGATGAGTGACTCTTTGGAAAGAATTTACAATCCTTTCTCGCTCATATGGCCCATTCTTTTATGCCATAAATCTGCAAAACTTTCTTCGTGAGCCACATTTAATTCACCTTGGCATATTTCTGCATTTGTCCTGTATAATGTGCCACGAGCAACTCCTTTTGCAATCACTAATGCCCCTTTGGTGAGTCTCCATTTTTTTATTTGCAAAGTAGTTCTCATATCCATCTTGGTCCAAAGCAATTCCCGAGATCAAGTTCATCCGCAAATCAGGTACGTGGTGCACATCTTTCAACACTAATGTGCATCCAATATTTGTTTTTAAGCAAATGTCTCCGATCCCCGTAACCTTTGAGTAACTTTTGTTACCCATTTTCGCATTTCCATAATCACCGGCTACGTATCTGCAAAAAAGATCTGTTACCGATGTGGCATGATAAGATGTTGTTGTGTTGACCACCCATTCCGACTCTATACATGCCAAGTGGATGCATTCTTCTTCCTCATTTATGAGGAGAACAACATCGTCATTATTTTGCACCACGGCAGCTGTGTTGTCATCATTCTTCTGGCCGCTGCTTTCCCCTTTGCCCCTTTTTAGATTTGAACAATCTCTTTTGAAGTGTCCTGGTTGATCGCAATTGTAGCGATTTCTGGACTTTGATTTTTATCGGACCTTGGACTTTCCACGAGCTCCAGATCTACCATAGTTACTTGAGCTCCTTTGGTAACTTCTGCCTCTACTTTCCATGATGAGAGCCTGTCCGTGATTTTCAGGCCTTTTTCTCATCTTCTCATTAAGTAAAAGGGCTGATGTGAAATCCTTCAACTCAATAGAGTCCTTACCATGTAAAATGGTTGTTGCTAAAGTATCGTAGGAAGATGGCAACGAGTTTAGGAGCACTATGGCTTTATGTTCATCCTCGATCTTTACTCCGAGGTTTGCAAGCTGCGTGATTAGTCCATTAAGTACATTTAAATGAGACAAAAAATTTGTACCTTCACCCATATGTAGCGCATATAACTGCTTCTTTAGGTACAATTTATTTGTCAGCGTTTTGGACATGTATAGATTTTCTAACTTTGTCCGAATTCCACATACACTCTCTTCATCGATGATGTTATTAACTACATCATCTGTTAAGTGCAATCTGATTTCACTAGCAGCCTTTTCATCCATTTCTTCCCAATCCTCAAGTTTCATGGATTCGGGCTTTTTGGATTTGCCGCCTAGTGCCTTGTGCAAACCCTGTTGGATGAGCAAGTCTTTCATCCTTCTCTGCCACGTTGAGAAACCGCTATCACCGTTGAATTTTGCTACCTCGTACTTTACTCCAGACATTTTTTCTTATTGAGTATAGTACAATAAGCTACAAAAAATATTTCTGTAAATAAGCAGAACCTGTGCTCTGTTTCCAATTGTTGGGAATAAATTCGTAACAGAAATAATATTTGCGGTAATAAAGACAATAAATGTGGAACACAACAATACGGTTAATCAACGAGAATATTACTATAGTAAGGATTTTACACTTGTATGTCTGAGTAAAACTCCAAAGACCACTACACATTCAAAAGAAATAACACTCTTGGATTTTCCACCTCACTACAATATCGTTCACACTCTCTATTTTTTCCTCACAGATTATTTTCCTCTGTGATGCCTCCCTCTTCTTTCTCTCCTTTGTAATTCTTTTTGGTGCATTTTGAAATGAGCAAGAGCTCTCTATTTATAGGAAAATCTACTCCTAATGATGTCACCAGTGACATCACAAGAAACACAAGATTTGAACCTTTTCACCTATGTAGAATTCTTGCTAAGATTTTAGTTGAAAAAAGAAATGGTGAGCTTTGAATTTTGTTGCAGCATTTTGTAGACTTTAACAATAATCAACAAACAAAATTCAACCATTTCTACATTTTAACTTTCCTTATGTTTATATACAATGGATATGGACTCCACAATAAAAAGAGTAGGGTGATGAAGATGTTTAACATTTATAACACGAGGAGCTCGTAATCTTTCGTAATGCCTAAGGAAAGCCTCTTTTCAATGAAGAGGATCTGCTAGTGTTACGATTTAATTTGGAGATCGATGAGCTTAAAAAGAACGACATGGATGAGCTTATATATGTACTAATTCTATAAATAATAATTTTAAATAATAAATAGTATTGTCTTGAATAGACTAATTATATATAATTAAAATAATCGTCGGCTCCGTCAAGTTATCATTAAATATGGAAATACTTTCCGTCACTTTCTTCATGCCATAGAATAAATATTTTCGCTGTTCAAATGCATAGGTAATGAAAACGATCCAATTGATAATTACTTACAAGAATTTTCCAACTCTAGCAAGTTAATCCCAAAGACCCAAGTAGAAATCTCCCTATTCCTAGTTCAACTTCACTAATCAACACAATTAATTCCTTAATATACTTTATTCCTTGATACTTGTTAAAAATTCAATCCAATTTTCACCCTTCCGAGTATAGAAATAAATATATAGGGCTAAATCTAGTGTTTGCAACCTCACAAATAAGACTGTAAGCAAGCAGATAATCACAAACCAAATAATAATAAGCAAGATAACCTGGTATTCAATCACATAAAAGTCATAAGAGTCTAAAACCCAGAATAATAGGTTTAGCTACTCATACTAGAAGAAAAAATGCAGTATGAAATATAATTATAAATAGTTCAATATTAAACAAATAAGAAGTTTCAAACTATATGGTGAAAATCTCTTAATCCTTGCAATGTTAACTAGAGATACTCCTCCTAGACTACTCAAATCAACAAGAAAAATGATCTAATTCATATTTTTATAACTTTCAAAATTTGGATACTCTTCCGCTGCCAATTTCGTGGAGCGAAATCATGGATACATTCCAATTTTTGTCTCCCCATTTTCATTTTGTGGAGGGAGAAAAATTTGTTCCTTTTTCAGACTTACCCAAATTCAACTTCCTCTACCCTCATAAATGGCTCCACGGATATTTAACTTGGGCACAATTTTGTGACTTCTTAATCTTTACTTTTCTTATTCTCTTGCTCCAACTTCCATACTTTTTTCATCATTCTTGATCAACTATTTGTTTGTTTGGCTTCTTTAGCTCCATGTTCTGAAACTCCCATTTCATGCCCCGAGCCTACACCCTAGGCGAGACTAGCACTCGAAGACCATTCCTGGCCCCAAGAGAACCCTTGGACTAGCTTACTTAACTCAGCGGAAGACTTAAACACAAGAGATAAAACTCATGAAATAACTTATAGGTAATAAATTAGCCAAAATAGAAAAACATGTCTTAAACGTTTACAATTGAGATGAATAAGACTAAAGAACTAATAATATATGTCTATGAAGCCTCTAAAACAAAGAGGACAAGACCTCCAATCATCCTAACAACTGAAAAACAAAAAGCAAGTGATAAAAGATGCCTCCGGAATGTAAGAAGGCTGTCCAACTAACCCTGAGTTGCTCACTGGATCAACGGTGCGCCGTATGCCAATCCTAGTTACATATGTCTGCATCAAAATATGATGCAAGCCAACTGGCATCAGTACATAGAATGTACGAGAATGCGAGTTAGAATGCTAAAATGTACATCGGCTTGAAAGGAAAATCTGAAAAACTTACCTGGCTCAACTCATCTCTGCAAGACTAAAATCATTTCAATATAAAGCAATTTAAATCAAGTGCAATATAAGGAAAATTTGTTTAAAACATTATGACAACTCTGTATGTATGCAAAGATACAATATAACTTTGAGATCTATGTAAAAATACAAATAACAGTGTATATGAAATATATTTAACTTCTGTGGAGTTTCTTTAATTGACAATCATCACTTAAGAGCTATAGTGATGATACATCGTTTTGCCTCATGCTTCCAGGGTTGTCCTATACCTTGCCATTAATATAGATACTGAATTAGTAAGTGGATCCACTAGTCTATGCTAAAAAGCACTAAGGAATCATCTAAAATGTATGACTATTTTTCTACCCATGGTGGCTACATGGTTTATGGGGGTTGTGAGTTATCTGAAGTCTCCCCCATATCGTATTGAATACTACTCCCAAAATATACTAGCTTGTATGTTTTTAAAACACACTTTCTTCTATGATTTTGAGAGTGGTGCTCAAAATACTTAGCTCAAAGGCTACCTTGGAAATCAAAGTTTCCCCTCTTTCTTTATTTAGAAATCAATTACTTTTTCTGAAAAATAGCTCAAAAGCTCATTGGAAATCTCAGCTTCCTTTCTTATTTGAATAAGAAGAACATTTACTCTTTGGGAATACATAAACCTGATATACTATTTTGAAGAAATGAAATCAACTCTTCACTTTTTAATTAACTTGAGACTGGAGCCTTAAAACAAAGTTAAAATATTGCTAAAGACTCTTGAAAACTTTTAAGAACTTTGTTTTGACTTGACTCTTAACTTCTTTGACTTTGATATTAGTTTTTTCATGAATTGGATCATGGATTCAAGGTTCATGGCCTCATGTTTATGGATGATTTCATGATGTTTCTATGTACCTTAGAATGTTGAAATCAACTAGGAAACATAGGTACATCACTAAGGAACTAGTACAGAAAGATGGGGGAAGAATAGGGAGAATTGGCGTCCCAGGAGCTCTAAGAGGCGCGGGGCGCCTACCCTCAAACTTTAGAGAGGTTTTTCTGGCGCGACGCATCATAGGCCAAAATTCGGGGGGGACTTTTGTGATGCTTTGGAAGGCGCGGCTCCCCAAGTCTTACCTAGAAAACCTCCGACTTTTCTCCTTTGTTTTTTTTATCTCCAAACCCTCTAAACTTCCATGGTTCTTTCCCCAAACTCTTAGGATCATTAGTAACCTTAACATACAACAGATTATACTCAAAAGTTCATTTGGAAAAATGAATAAAATCATCAAGAAACTTCAAGAACACAACCTTCAAGAACATAAAAAAATTTTCAATAATGTTCTTCAATAACTCACTTCTTTAACATTCAAAGACTTAAATTCGCTGAACTGAAGCATGATTGGCGCGTGGGTGAATTAATTCAATGCTATGTGATCTCACATACCTTTTTAGGGAACACCCCCGATGAATTCCACACACAAAGATTGAATGTTGTTGGCAATTTCTTGGTTTCTCCTCTTTTCTCTTTTCTCCAAGTCCAAGCGTGAATTTTAAATCTTTCTAAGTTGAAAAAGTCATTTTTTTACCCCAATTAATCCCTAAAACGAAATAATATAATTAGGTAAGAAAAATATATATTTTCCCTTATCAAATTCGGATTGAATTTCCTTAATCCAACAACCCAACTTCCGAAAGGCATAACTCACTCATATGAACTTGGAATCGCGTAAACTTGGCCGCGTTGGGAAGATCATTCCAATAGATTTACAACCATATCTGGAACTACACCTAACTCATCTTAGGGCTAGGAGTTATGATCCTTTGAAGATGACCAAAAACTGATATTTCGCTTAATTCAAAATTTCCAGATTTCCTTATACTTACCAAAAGTAACTATTTCCATATTTTACACTTACTTCTAGTCTCTTTTTAGTTGGGAGATGTTAAATCACCATTTTAAGTTAGTTTATGTTATTAAATTATACTCAAAATACACTTTAAACACAAGAAAAAAGGTAATTCATATGGTTGTAATTTGTTAACTTGCGTCTTATACAAGGCTTATGACATTGAGGAAAGAGAAGTTAAGGCTCTCATATAAAGTTTCTCCAGAACCTCCTCTTTAGAAGATGGGGGATGTTGAAGCATCTATTTTCTAACTTCAAAAAGTATTTCATTGCATTCGTACTCAGAGACAGAAGCACGTGTCAAAGAAACCATTTCATTTTTCATCGCAAAACACATAACAAGAAGAGAACCGCAATGTTGAAACCAGGTTTTAAGTATAAAAAAACCCAAATAAACACTAAAGAACAAAGGGAAAACTTCTGTTTTGAGGAGGAATGCAACAAAAGACTTCTTGAAGTTGTAAAGGATATGCTGGAACAACCCCCCATCTTATAACGAAAGAAACTTGATGTGAAAGACTTATTTTTTCTTTGTTCAATGTCATAAGCCTTGTATAAGTGATAAAATGACAAATTACCAATATATGAATTAGTCTTTTTCTTTAAATTTTAAGTGTCTATAGTATAATTTAATAATCTAATCTAACTTAAATTAGTGAATTTCAGGATTTGGTGCTAAAGAAATCAACGCAATCAAGTATTTGATCAAGAATGATGAAAAAAATAAGAAAGTTGGAGCGAAACACTTCTTGAAGTTGAATATTATCAAAACAATAGTGTATGCGAGATGTAGTGGAGTAAAGAAACATATGGGATTTTTCTTTTGAAGATAAACATTTTGGAGGATATCGCTAATGAACCCTTCAATGGCAAATAAAAAAGATTTAGCTAAAGTTGAATATGCTCTTATAAGACAGTATAATCAACTAGAAGAGGATTACTAGAAACAAAAGGATGGGATGTAATATTTCAAAGATGGAGATAGAAATATGAAGTTTTTTCATTCGTATCTAAAAGGCATGAGGAAACCGATGATTAACAAAATTGAGACAGAGCGGGTGATATGATACGTGTCACTTAAAACATAGAAGAGGAAACAGATAATATTAGGGAACAATTTAAAGAGGGTCAATGATATGCGGATCAAGCAATGGTCGAAAGATGTATAACTACAAAATAGAATATCGAAATGACAAGAGCGCCTACAGAGGAAGAAGTTAAGGAGTAGCGTTAAGTCTAGAATAAAGAGAACACATGTGGAGCTAATGGATTTTTAGAAGAATTTTTTCAAACATGTTGAGAGGTTATAAGGAAAGATATGTGGCTGATGGTGATGCTTATTTTTGTGGTGGTGAGATACCTATATATTTCTCACACGAATATAGTTCTAATTCCAATGAAGGTCAGTAAAATTTAAGATTTCCGACCTATCAACTTGATCTCTTTTGCTAATAAGATTTGTCAAAGCAACTGCATAAAAGAATAACTTGGGTTCTACCTGAAATTATCTCTGAGAGTCAGTCTGGTTTTATGAAAGGAAGAAGCATTGTTGAAATATTTTTACAAAGGCAAAAGATAATTAGAGATATAAACAAGAGGAATGAATACCATATTGTTGTGGTGTAGTTGGACATGACTTAAGTGTATGATAGGGTCAGGGATACTTTTGATTCGAGTTATGAGTAGATTTGGGTTTGATGAGAGGATTATTTATGTGGTGTGGAGATTGATATCTAATAACTAGTACTCAGTGTTAATTAATGGCAAGACTTTTTGTTGTTTCAATCTTCTTAGGACTGAAGCAAGGTGATCCCCTCTAACCCACCGTGTTCATCATAACAGTGAAGAGATTTGGGAGGCCTAAATGGAGTAGAGAGATTAATCATTTGTATTATGCGGATAATGCAATCCCTTTTTGTTCATGACATAAGAGTTCAATGAAAAAAAATAATGAAGATTTCTCGGAGATATAAATGTGTCAGGGTAGCTCATAAACCTTAACAAAAGCTATGTATACCTGCATAAAAAGGCTCTTTATTCTGTCTTGGAGTCTCACGAGGTGTCTTTCCTTTTACATATCTTGGATGTCCAAATTTTTACGCAAGGAAAAAGAAGTCATATTTTGAAGAGCTGATAAAGAAAGTTGTAAAAAGACTAATGGGATGGAATAATTGATTTTTAACTTATGGGGGAAGCTATTTTGTAATAGCTCATGTTTTACAATCAATGCCTATTTATCTTATGTGTGTTGAATCCTCCAAAGGGCGTAACAAATCAGATTCATAAGATTATGGCAAAGTTTTTTTTTGGGTCACATAGGAGAAGTAAAATTGAAACACTAGATTTTTGGGAAAGAATGTGCTTACAAAAATCAGTGGGAGGAGTGGGTTTTAGATAGATGCATGACGTATCAGATGATCTATTTGCTAAACTATTATGGATATTCACAACATCCACTAATCCTTTGTGGAGTGAAATTATGTTGAATAAATATTGTAAAAAAATGCATCCAATAATGGCACAAAGACACCGGGCATCTCATGTATGGAGAAAGATGATTAGACAAAACAAGGGGCTTGGTACTATGTGGAAGAAAATAAAGGGGGAGGAGGAGCTTCTCGGAGAAAAATCTTATTATAGAAGATCAGTTGTATATGTAGAAACTCTTACGGTATAATGTTGAATATACAACTTATCACATTGTGAGTTCTCTCTAGTAATGAATATAGGAGATCAGGATAAACCTTGGTGGATAGGCAACTGAAAGGGTTCTTTTTCAGTTAATCGGCTTGAGATTTAATGATATAAAAAAAGGAGAATGAGGATACATATGATATGATTTGGATGAAAAGCTTGCCTTTTAAGATTAATTTCTTTTTATGGAGGGCGTGAAAAGGGAGGACTGCCACATATGACAATTAACGGAGAATGAGAATTAACATTGCCTCCTGGTGTTGGTGTTATGAGACACAACAAATGGAAACCATG